AGGAAGGTCCCAAACACACAACTAGTGAGGCTTCCTCACACTGCCCCAGATGACCTCTCCCACGATCCAGGGGTGCCGGTTCCCCTCTATTACCCCATTTCCTAGTAGGAACTCCCCAACTCAGGCTTCTAGGAATCTGTTGGAATTCATTGGGGTTGTGTATGGGGGCTAGGGGGGGCGTGCCTTAGGCTCATCCCAGTCAGGCAACCTGCACTGCCTGATTCTGAGGCCTAAAAATAAAATTCCCTTTGCCTCTGAACTGATCCTGCCTTGACCTCCAGCCACAACGATATTGCCCTGGTCCTGCGACAGTTTTACAACAATAGACTACAGAAGGTTAACCTGCGGAATTTCACCAATGGCCAGACCAACCTGGACAGACTCAGAGACGGTCTCGTCGGTGCCCAGGTACTACAGGAACACACACAGGGCCCCACAACATGGCTGCTAGGGTGTCTCATGGTAGCTCCAGAGACACAAGTTAGTCTAATGGGAATTCAAGCTACCAGAGCACCCCCAAAAATGCCAGAAGGGAGCTGGAAGGCGACAGCAAACCAGCTTGGTGGGCAACCAGATGCCTCAGAACAAGAGGGTGTTGCATGTGTCATTTAGGCCCACTGGGTATACTATGTCAGGGAGCCCCAAAGCTGCCCCTACCCAACCTTTGAACTTTTCCTAGTTCTGGTCCGCCTACGTCCCATGCCCAACCCAGGACCGAGATGCCCTGCTCCTCACTCTGGAGCAGATCGACCTCATTCATCGCATGTGTGCCTCCTACTCTGAGCTGGAGCTTGTGACCTCAGTTAAGGGTAGGTGGATTGGTGGGGGTGGTCTGGTGGGGGGCTGTTAGGGACTTGGGTTACATTGCCTCTGAAAGTGATTTCTGACCTATCTGCCCACAGCTCTGAACAGTACCCAGAAGTTGGCATGTCTCATTGGTGTGGAGGGCGGCCACTCGCTGGACAGCAGCCTCTCCATCTTGCGGACCTTCTATATGTTGGGTGTGCGCTACCTGACACTCACCCACACCTGCAACACGCCGTGGTGAGCACAGTGTAGGTGGTATGGGCCCACTGAGGCAAAGATCTGCTTCAGATCACACAAGATCCAGACCATGCTTTATCCTTGGGATCTAGTGCTGATGCTAGAGAAGGGATGGGAGCTGGGGTTCAAAGAGCAAGACTGGATCCCTAGTGGGGCATCTTCTAACTGCCCAGCTCGAGTCTTTCTCTTGCTCTGGGGGTTGCAGGGATAAATGGATTCAGTAGTACCTTTAGGTTCTTGTGGACAAGTCACAGCCTCCTGATCATTCTACAGGGCAGAGAGCTCAACTAAGGGTATCCACACCTTCTACAGCAATGTCAGTGGGCTGACCAGCTTTGGTGAGGTAAGGACCCTGGTCGCATATCCTGCCCCACATGAATGTACATGCCCCACCTGTTCCCTACAAATAAATGCACATCCCTGCGAATGTGCACCCCTGATGCCCTCTCTCCAACCTGTACCTGCAGAAGGTTGTGGCAGAAATGAACCGCCTGGGCATGATGGTAGACCTGTCCCATGTGTCAGACACGGTGGCACGACGGGCCTTGGAAGTGTCACAGGCACCTGTGATCTTCTCCCACTCAGCTGCCCGGGCAGTGTGTGAGAATTCCCGGAATGTTCCTGATGAGATCCTGCAGCTTCTGGTGAGAGAATGCCCTAGCCCTCAAACCTACAGTGAGAGGTTTAAATCAGGAGCCCTTGAGCCCAAGCCCCTGCTCCCTTGATTTCCTCACACCCCAGGCTGAACATCTTCAACTCCACAAACCTAAATCCCCTGAATGTTTGGACCAAGGGGGAGGGGCTCTAGGTGGAAAATACTCTTGTACCCCTTAAATCCAGGGCCAAGACACCTCCACCCAAACCAGGACTGAGACGCCTCGATTCACAAACTCACAGAGAATGCCCTCCTCACAGGGGCCTAGAGTGAACAGGCAGGTAGTTGTGCTGGGCGGTACCAAACTGAGTGTCCATTTGTTCACCCTGCAGAAGAAGAATGGTGGTATCGTGATGGTGTCCTTGTCCATGGGGGTGCTACAGTGCAACCCGTTAGCCAACGTGTCCACCGTGGCAGGTAAACCCTACTGACCAGCTCTGAGTTAGACCAGGGGCTTTGTGGAGGCCTCAGAACAGCACCTGTGATTGGACCCAGCAGTAGACACAGCTTCCCCAAACCCAATCTTGAATGGTACACAGCCCCTTTGTGCCAGCTGGAACTAAAACCATCAGTTGGGCTTTGGGGTCAGAAGCCAACCATCTGTGCCATTGTAGGGGTTCCCAAAGTGTCCTGCCCCTGCCTCCAGCCAAGGAATTGAGAGCTCTTTAAATTTCTGGGACTGTGATCTTTGTCCCTTTCAACCTCCACTTTCATGGAAAGGAAGCCCCATAGTTCTCAAAAGGACTAGAGACTAGGTGAATCCTTCATGGTCTGAATAGGTGACTTCGCAATTTATACAACTCTTAAGTCCAGTCCAATGCCAGCTGGCACCACTTCTGGTCAATCTTCAGAGCCCTTAAGTTGGCACACTGGGTGCCAGGCCTGCATGGCCTAAGGCTGAAAGTAGGAACTGGGCACAGTCCAGTTCCCAAACCCATTCCTGCCCTGGAAGTTTCCTCACTACTGACTCTCCATCCCCTAGATCACTTTGACCACATCCGGGCAGTCATTGGATCTAAATTCATTGGGATTGGTGGAGATTATGATGGAGCTGGCAAGTGAGTGTTCCCTGGGGTTCACTTGGGGCTGGGGCAGCAGTGGGGCTTTCAGTCACAATGCCCACCACCCTGTGTTCCTCATGTTCCCTAGGCCTTGACCGTTAGCCTTGGATCTGTTGGCCCACCTAGCATCTCCCCATTCCCAGGGTCTGTTCCTGTCTTCTGTGGCCCTCTCTAGGTGCTCATATTCAGCTAAGCCACCAGACAGATATCTGCCCAGCAGAAGCAGTGCTAAAAGACCCACTGCTTCTGCTCATACTCTTAGCAAGATCTGGTGTGGACTCACCATCTTCTCTGCCTGCACCTAGGTCTGTGCACGCAGGAAGGCAGCCCTGTTCTTGAAAAGGTTTTCTTCTCAGTAAAAGGCATAGATCTTAACACAATTCAGTAAGTTCTGATAGATAATAGGGAGGTTTGGGGACCCTCTACAGGATGAAGAACTGGCGTGAATCATTTACTTTCTCCAAGTCTCCATTTTTCCTAATTGACCTGGGCTGGGGGGTTCAGTGGGCCTTGGACACATACAGGACTGTAGTCCTAAGTCAGGACCAGGGAACAGGTAAATGATGTGAGACCCAAAAGCCTGACAGACTGTTGGCCACAGTTTCCCACAGGGGCTGGAAGACGTGTCCACATACCCGGTTCTAATAGCGGAGTTGCTGAGGCGCGGCTGGAGTGAGGAAGAGCTTCAAGGTGTCCTCCGAGGAAACCTGCTGCGAGTCTTTGGACAGGTGGAACAGGTATGCAGGGCTGGGCTCAAGTAGCTCAGAGCCCCTTATTTGATGAGAGGGTTCCATGGAGTTGCTCACCACTGATTGTTGCTGGCAGGTCCGGGCGGAAAAAAGTGGGCAAAGCCCATTGGAGGACGAATTCCCTTGGACAAATGAACAACCGGGAAACCCTTGTCGCTCCATCCTCCATCCATCTCAGAGTCCCATTCTGGACCAGAATCTAACCAAGACACCCAGGTTGTCACCTAAGTGGTCATTCTCAAAATCCTCCTCTCGCCTTGCCCCAGGCCTCACAGTGATGGCCACCTTGCCAATCTTTATTGTGTGGCTCCAGTGATCCAGTTACCTTGCCACAGTCACTGTGGCAGCTCTGCATACCACCCAAAGTCCTGTTGTGTAGTCAAACACTTCCTGAAAATAAATATTTTAGACATAAAACTAAGTGTGAGTGTCCTTCTCTGGGGTGAGGTCTGGTGGCACAGGTTCCCATTGCTGGTGGCTGGTGAGAGTCTGTAGAGTTCAGCCACTGGTTAGTTATTCAATGAAGACCTATCAGCAGTGATCTGAGGAGACAGAAGTGACTGGGCTCAACACTGGATGAAGACATGGATCAGCTAGCTGATGGAGGGTGAACCCTATTCTGAGTTCTCTCTAAATAGCTCACCTCAATCCACACCCAGAACCACCACCTTGGAATCATTCAGGGAATTCTGGTCCAGATTCCCAAGAAGGGAACCTGCCTGAGTCACATCACAAGTGATCTTTGTTCCTGTTTGGACAGATCCCAGGATGCCAGATCACATAATGACCAGGGACCTCTGATGGCTGGATTGCCCTGGGCCTTCATCTCCCCTCTCCCAAGAGACACGAATTACTTAGATAACCACTCCATGGTATCCCCAGGTCATTGATGATAGCAACTGCACAAGTAAGCACTAAAAATAAAGAGTTAATACTAATAAAAAATAACTCAAATAACATAATAATAACGATGATAGCTAATAAAAATTTAGAGTTAATACTAATAGGCAATGCAGACCCTATGACTGACCAATTTCACCCAGGTATTACACCCAGTTGGGTAACTGGAAACCAAAGGCATATGAAATAACATTTATAGCAGTACTACTCATAATAGCCCCACACTGCACTTAAGCTTCAACTGCCCAAAACAAAAGATAATCTTAAAAGAAGTTTTTTTAAGCATATCTTTAGAAATCACATTAACTTGAATAATAAAAGTGACAAATGAGTAATCCACAAAAATAATGGAAATCCACACACAGTAGAAATATAATGAATTAACTACTACATTGAATTCTATGCACAGTGAGAAAATTCTTTAAAAATGAATGAAGAGGGCCCTCCTTGGTGGCACAATGGGTTAGGAAGAAGCACTGCAAGCTAGCTGCTTCAATGTGAGTTCCATCCCCAGCCCCGGAGGTGACCCACATGGCTCAGCAGACTTCTGTCTCACCCACTGCTCTCCTCAGCAATGTATCTCAGTAGATCTGTCTGTTCTGCTCCCCACTCTGTCTCTGGTGAATCCTCTCACAGTTCCTGTACCTCTGGCCTGTATCCCAGTTCTGTATGCATAAATAAATAAGTCTTTAAACAAAATGAATGAAGAGGGCCCTCCCTGGTGGCACAGGGTATTAAAGTGCAGCACTATGAAGTTATCTGTAGCCACTGAAGCTCCAGCTCAATCCCCAGCCAGGTAGGTGACCCACATTTGCAGCCGACCTCTCCTGTCTCTCTGCTGTTCCTCTTAGCAGTGTATTGCTGTCATTCTGCCTGTTCTGTTGCCCACTCTGTCTCTGATAAATCTTCTGACCCCCTGAACCTCTGGCCTGTCCCCCAGTTCTTGTATGCATAAATAAATAAATCTTTAAAAAAAAAAAAAAGCAAAAAACTGAGGCCCTCCCTGGTGGCAAAATGGGTTAAAGTGCAGCACCATGAAGCTCACAGCACCTGCTTCACCATGAAGTCTATCCCCAGCCATAGAGGTGATCCACATGGCGCAGCAGACCTCTCCTGGCCTGCCTACTGCTCCCCTCAGCAGTGCACTTCATGGATCTGCCTGTTCTGCTCCCTGCTCCACCTCTGGTGTATCCTCTCACAGCTCCTGCACCTCTGGCCCATACCCCAGTTCTGCATTCATAAATAAATAAACCTTTAAAAAATATAAAAAGGAAAATTGATCTAAGCAAAAAAGTAGGTTTTGAAAATATTCACAGGGCTCTCCCTCGTGTTGCAATGGGTTAAAACACCACATTATGAAGCTCTACAAAGCCACTGCAGCAGGAGTTCGATCCCCAGCAAGGGAGCTGACCCACATGGCCTGGCAGACCTCTCCTGATCTGCCCACTGCTCCCCTCACCAGGGTATTTTGTCAGTCTGCCTGTCCTGCTCCCCACTCTGTCTCTGGTGAATTTTCTCACCCTCCACACCTCTGGCCTATACCCCAGTTCTGTAAGCATAAATAAATAAATCTTTTTTTAAGAAATATTATTCAAGGCCCTCCCTGGTGGTGCAGAGGGTTAAAGCACTGCACTAAGAAGATTAAGCCAGTTCCTCATGAGTTCGATCCCCGCCTTCCCCGGAGGAGATCCACATGGTGAGGCAGACCTCTCCTGACCTGCCCGCTGCTCCCCTCAGCAGTGTACTTCGTCGATCTGCCTGTCCTGCTCCCCACTCTGTCTCTGGTGAATCCTCTCACCCTCCACATCTCTGGCCTGTACCCCAGTTCTGTATAAATAAATAAATAAATCTTAAAAGAAAAAAAAATATTATTCACAAATTGCCTTCCATTAAAATCAGGAAATTAAGGGGAGGCAGATAAATGGGACAAAAGGAGTCAATTATATGGTGAAGAATAAAACTGAATTTTTAACTGGTGAAATTAATGTAATACACATGTGTGGATATTTAATGATACATACCTGTAATTTATAGAATGTTATAAAACAATGTTACTTCTAAATAAATATGGAAATGTAAAAAATAAAATGAAGCTAGGAAAATAAAATTATAATAAAGTCTGACTTAGGTATAAACAAAATATAGAAACATAACCTAATGCAAATTTTAATACAACCACTTTTCAGCACCTTAATATTTTCAACTGTCTTGTTGTGGAATGTTCTGAGAAAACTGACCATTAAAAAGTACATTTTAAGGGCCCTCCCTGGTGGCGCAGTGGGTTAAAGCACAGCACTAAGAAGCTTAAGCCACTTCAGCATAAGTTCGATCGCGGCCCCAGAGGTGATCCACATGGCTTGGCAGACCTCTCCTGTCTCGCCTGCTGCTCCCCTCAGCAGTGTACTTTGTTGATCTGCCTGTTGTGCTCTCTGGTGAATCCTCTCACCACCCCTGACTCTGGCCTGTACCCCAGCTCTGTAAGATAAATAAATAAATCTTTTTTAAAAAACGTACATTTTAAAAAATATATAGCAGCCTATGGTGATGGCACACGGGTGACTCAGTGATGGGAAACCCATGGGGATTACAATTGAGATTTAAAAAAAAAGTACAAAATGATGTAAAAATAAACTCATCACATTTTCCCTCTTACCATGGATTCCAAATGGATTCCCAAACTGGGCTCTGCACAGTAACTCAAAAAGTTCCAATAGTGCTTTCTACTCATCTCACCTGTTTTTTCCTTTCTTAACTCCTTTTGGATGGATTAAGTACCATTCTGAGATAACCTTAGTCCCATTTCAGATCCTTCCAGCCTGAACTCATAACAGCTCAGGGCCCGTTTAGGAAAAAATGGAAAGAGATGGGAGTTCCTTAAGGGAGAAGCTTCGAGAAGCTTCCCTGGAGCTATTTGATACTTGCCTGAAGCTAAACACCCGCGGGACCGCCACCTGGCTGACTAGCGGTAGTATTAGCAAAGTCTCTGGTCCTCGCAGTTTTCCTACTAGGCGCCTCCTCCCTCAGTCTGTGTGACGGCAAGTCCAAGGGAGGAGTATGGACGGTTCTGCAAGCCGGACCCCCAGGATTTGTAAGTAGAGTGTTCTCTCGGCAGCCGCCGGCCACGCCCACGGGGGCGCCCTCCTAGCTGAGGGCTGGAGGAGTTGCCGCCACCGCGCGGCCGCGCTGCCACAAGATACGAATGCCTGAGCGTCCTAGCTTCCTGTGACTTCAGCCTTCCTTCAAGCGGCAGCGCCAGTAGGCCCCTAAATTCGACGGCCGGAACCCCTGTACCCCTATCTGCCCCTCCCAGATCCTCTCGGACTCCATACTGACCCTGCCCAGTCCTGCGCAGCATGGCACCTACAGAGCTCCATGGTCCTGGCGGGCTCTGCCGTTGGCTGCTGCTGCATCTGCTCCTCCTGCGATCACTGTTGCCGCTGCCAGTAACCCACACCCTGAGCACTTCAGTCATCTCAAAGGCCCCTACTACGCTGAGTACCCCCAAGTCCCCCGGTTTGTGGGAGCGTGCACGGGCCCTGATGCAGAATTTCCCCTTGGTGGAAGGGTGAGTAGATGTGGTGTACAGGCTAGCGGGACCAAGTTCACCCCTGACCAAAGAAGGGGGTCCTGAGAATAAGGGGCTAGTTAGAAGGCTCCATCACCTATGGGTACCCTTCCATTACCCTGTTCCTGATGGAATGCCCCCCTCCAAACTGGGCCTCAGAAAGTCTTATTGATTGTGTGATGTGGAGCACGCTGTTGGCTTGTCCTGCCTCACCTTCAGGCCATGTACCCATACTCTAACCTTGTCTTGACACCTCCCACCCCTCCAGCCACAACCACTTGCCCCTGCTCCTGAGACAGCTTTTCCAGAACAGGCTACAAGATGTTAACCTGCGCAATTTCAGTCGTGGCCAGACCAGTCTGGACAAGCTGAGGGATGGCCTCGTGGGTGCCCAGGTACCACAGGGACACACAAGATACCACAGCGTGGCTGCTGGGGCATGTGGGGACCTCAGAAACTCAGGTAGGCAGACTTCCATTGACTATGCATGGGACATGCAGTGTACCCTCCTGTGACTGCTGGCACTGGGCCTTGGCGACCAAGACAGGCTGCCACATGGGTTCTCATGTGTGTGGAGACACACAGAAAGTGACCAGAAAATCTCTGGTGAGTGTGGGACTGCTGCCGGGGCCACAGATGCTACACTGGCCTTGGGCCATTCACATAGCACATGGACAAATAGCAGGTGATGATTTCCACAGCCTGGCTGCTGGCAGAAAGCTTAATAGTGAACTGGGATCATGCAGGGCCTCACTTGGGGGCCTGAGGAGGAGTAGCAGGCCAAGGGCACTGCAGACCTCCCTAATCTCATCCTAGACCCTCTGGCCTACCCACAGTTCTGGTCCGCCTACGCCCCGTGCCTGACACAGGACCGGGATGCCGTGCTTCTCACCCTCGAGCAGATCGACCTCATTCATCGCATGTGTGCTTCCTACTCTGAGATGGAGCTTGTGACCTCAGTTGAAGGTCATTTGGCAAATGCAGGATGGTGCAGTAGAGAGAGTGGGAGTAGTCAAGGGCCCTTTCTAGTGGTGCTGGCCCTGCATCCTGACCACTTGATCATCCACCCTTTTCCAGGTCTGGAAAAAACGCAAAAGCTGGCCTGTCTCATCGGTGTGGAGGGTGGGCACTCCCTGGACAACAGCCTCTCTGTGCTGCGAAGTTTCTATCTGCTAGGTGTGCGCTACCTGACACTCACCTTCACCTGCAGCACGCCCTGGTGAGCTTGGTTCTGGCCAGATGGGATGGTGGACAGCATGGTGGGGAAACTAGAGGAGAGGTGAGGACAGAGAAGTTCACAGAAGTCAGCCCCCAGCAAGTCCCTCACACTCCCAGTAAACAACCAACCCAGTCCTCACCCTAACGTGGAGGTGGGATGGACGAATGAGCAGAGGGACTGCAGAGACCCCAGAATCTAGGTGGTCAAGGTATGAACCATGAGACTATCTTCCCCTTGCTGTCCTGCAGGGCAGAGAGTGCCACCAAATATAAATACCCCTTCTATACCAACGTCGTCGGGCTGACAAGCTTTGGTGAGGTGAGCACTCCCGTTCTTCCCCACCCCACCCTACAGATAGGTGCATCTACATGCACCCCAGAATCCTCACTCTCCCCCCAAAAAACACTGTGCTGCAGAAGGTGGTAAGGGAAATGAACCGCCTGGGCATGATGGTGGACTTGTCGTATGCATCGGACAACTTGGTGCAGCGGGTCCTGACAATATCAAAGGCTCCTGTGATCTTCTCCCACTCAGCTGCCAGGGCTGTGTGTGACAATTTGTTGAATGTTCCTGATAACACCCTGCAACTTTTGGTGAGTGGCTACCCTGACCCTCAAGGGCAGGGATACACATGCTTCCTCTGAAGATTCTTGACCCTGAACAAGAATATTTATCCAGCCTCACTTAACCTTGGACCCAAGCAGAACTAACATACCACATCTTTGCTTTTGTTTTTTAACATTTATTTATTTATGCATACAAGAACTGGGGTACAGGCTAGAGGTGCAGGGGATGAGAGTATTCACCAGAGACAGAGTGAGGGGAAGAATAGGCAGATATACTGAAATACACTGCTGAGGGGAGCAGCAGGTGAGACAGGAGAGGTCTGCCATGCCGTGTGGGTCAGCTCCCTGGCTGGGGATGGAACTCATGCTACAGTGGCTGCAGACAGCTTCATAGTGCTGTGCTTTAACCCATTGCACCACCAGGGAGGGCCCAACCTCCACATCTTTGAAATTCCAAGCAAAATTAGTTCCACCTAGGGTCCCACAGCAGCAAAGAGGTGAAATCTCTCCTAACCCCAGAGGCCAAGACTGAGCACTGTGCCCAGGGCACAGGTTCAAGCCATCAGAGCTGACTGTGTGTCCGTCTTTTTATCCCTGCAGAAGAAGAATGGAGGCATCGTGATGGTGACACTGTCCATGGGGGTGCTGCATTGCAACCTGTTTGCTAATGTGTCCACCGTGGCAGGTGAGCTCCTGTGGCTGCTGGAGCCCTCAAGACAGCTCCTGTAACCCACACCTGTTGTGTAATGGGGCAGGTGTCCTAAAAACCCAGGGGCAGCAGACCCAGCTCTTCACTGCTACCCAGGTCTGGGGCTACAGTCAATACTAATGGGTCTGGGAGAGGCAATTGGTTAGCCTCTGAGTCTTATTTTTGTTCCTAGTCCTTGAACCTCTCTCATCCCCCATATCTCTGGACAGGTCGGTGCTCAAGGAACCCAGAAAAAGGGTGACTTCTGGGCAGGAAAAAGTCCAAATGGAAGGCTCTGAGCTACACTCTTAAGTCCAGTGTCCAGCCTGTAGCCACTTCAGAACTCACAACTGGCCAAGCCCTCTGTGATATCAGCTGCTATGGCCAAGTTGCTGAGCTTCCCCAGACCAATCTCAGGGTCTATGTCCAGCCTAGTACTGCCCACCAGTCATCTCCACCCCCTAGATCACTTTGACCACATCAGGACAGTCATTGGATCTGAGTTCATCGGGATTGGTGCAAGTTATGATGGGTCTGGCCGGTGAGTGTTTCTCTGGGATTTGTCTAGGGCTGGGATGCGGTGGGGACCCTTTTAGTCTCCATTCTCCATCCGGTGGTCCTCTCCATCCTCCAGTCCTTGAACACAGACTCTGGTCTTCCAGCCCACCTGACATCTCCCTATTCCCAGGGACTGTTTCTTGACTCTCCTCTCCCTCCTGTGGCCCAGGCCTGACATCCTCCCCTCCCCCAGGCAGTGCTCTGCCCGTGTTCCACTCCCAGTCCCGTAGAATGGTATGGCTGATTCTTGGCTCAATAGGCAGATGCTGCAGACTCCCAGTTTCTAGGAACTTCCAAAGTTGCATCCCATAGTTCAGGAACATGGCCTTCAATTTCTCCTATGTGATTGAGGCTGGTGAGACAGTGAGCCCTAGAACAGGACCAGTCCTGAGATCCCAAAGCTGGCTGGCTGGCTGGCTGGTGGCCTCACAGGTTCCCAGAGGGGCTGGAGGACGTGTCCACATACCCGGTCCTGATAGCGGAGCTGCTGAGGCGCGGCTGGAGTGAGGAAGAGCTTCAAGGTGTCCTCCGAGGAAACCTGCTACGAGTCTTTGGACAGGTGGAACAGGTATGCTGGGCTGGGAAAAGGATGCTTTATTGTTTTGAGCAGGTAAGAAGGTGCCATGGGAGCCACTGACACTGACTCTCACCCCCAGGTGAGAGAGAAAAACAGTGGGGAAAGTCCTGTGGAAGATGAGTTTCCAGCCAGGCAGGTGGGCAGGGCCTGCCACTCCCATCTCCTAACTCAGTCTCAGAGTGAACACCAGGCCACTCACCAGCAGGTGACCAAGGGGCCACCCAAGAGGCTCTCAAAAGCCTCAACAACCTCCCCATGCCTTGTTCTAGGCCTCATGGCCACTGCCACCTGCTTAGTCATCAACCTGTGACTCTGGTGACCTGGCTTGTCCCCCAGAGGTCACTGTGGCAAAGTATCACAGTCTCCCTTTTTATCTAGGTACAAGCAGATGCTTGGAATAAATATTTTGGGCACAGAACTATGCAGGAGTGTCCTTCCTTCTCCAAGGGGACGGGCTGGGGCTGGGCTTAGTTGGCTCTTGGTTGGCGAGGGGTCTTGTGGTCTGGCCCTAGCTACTCAAGGTGAGTGGTTGCCCTTCAACCCCAGCTTTGTCTCTCCCAGGAAGGGCAGGGGCTTGTCACTGTACTCTTCTGCTGAAAGCCTCCCACAGAATAGCACAAAGCACTGTAGTTTCATCCCATCATGGGGTGTGACAATGTGATTTCCAGCCTCTCTCTGGATGGCTTAACTTCTTGTGTTCAAGAAGCTCAAACTGGGCCTCCCTGGTTAAAGACAGCACTGTTGAGCTGTCACCACTGCAGCACCAGTTTGATCCCTGATCAGCCAGGGAGGTGACCCATTTGGCATGGCAGACTTCTCCTGACCAGCCTGCTGCTTCCCTCAGCAGTGTATTTCAGTAGATCTGCCTGTTCTGCTCCCCACTCTGTCTCTGATGAATCCTCTCACCTCAACCTCTGACCTGTACCCTAGATCTTGTATGCAAAATAAATAAATCTTTAAAAGAAAAAAGCTCATACTATTTATAGAATAAATAGTATGTTTGGAAATAACAAGAAAATTTGTAGATTTTAGATTTTTTCAAAAAGTGTCCTGAATTTTTTTTTTTTTCTGAACTGGTTTTCATTGATAGGGGAAAATCAAGTTGTAAAAAGAAAAAGTAACTTAAAAAGGAAACTGATGCCAAATGTTTGGCTTATGGTATACCTTCTACCTTTAGACACTTACCTCTCCCGATCTGTAGGGGTGGGCCAGAACCAGATCTCAGTCCTTTACACAGGAGTTGCAATGTCTGCAAAGAGAAAATGTGTTACCCATATATATGTGGGTCTACTTTCAAATTCTGTTGTATTTGTTTGAACTATTTGTTCATCACTGTCAATTCCATAATGTTTTTGATGACAGGCACTTTTAAAATAGGTGTAACATCTGGTAGAAAGTCTTTCCACTTTCAGAGTATTATAGCAGTGTTTGATCAGATTGGCAGATTCAATAAGAATGATATAAATAAAAGATTTATTATAGGGATGAATGTGTATACTTATGTAGGATCTAATGGAAAAAATCCATGAATGGTATTCTGGTTACCTGTGCCTCTGGTGTTGGGTCTTAAGTGTATTTCTGAGTTAGAAGTTAGGAAGTAGAGCTGCATAAGAGGTGGAGGTGAGCCCATAAGGCCAAATTGGGTTCAACTGGATATCCATTTGGGAAAAAAGAGGATATTGATCTGTGGCTCACATACCATATAGGACATATTACACAAAGTAAAATTAATTTGAATATTTTATTGATCCAAAAACTAAAACTCCTTAAAAAGTAGTGTAAGAAAATATATGTGTGGGTCTCCCTGGTACTACCAGGGGTTAAGACTGGGCATTATGAAGGTACCCACAGCCATTGTACCATGAGTTTGATCCCCGGCCAGGGAGCTGACCCACATGGCCCAGCAGACCTCTCCTGTCTCACCCACTGCTTCACTCAGCAGTGTATTTTCAGTGGATCTGCCTGTTCTGTTCCCCACTCTGACTCTCATAAATCCTCTCACCTCCTGAATCTCTGGCCTGTACCCCAGTTCTTGAATGCATAAATAAATAAATCTTAAAAGAAAAAATTAAATCATACAATAGGTAACATTTGTGTGTTACATTTAGCATGCTTCAGAGATTCAAACTTTTTCTCCATCTTTATTTCATTCTTTTTCTTTTGTTTTTAAGATTTATTTATTTATGCATACAGGAACTGGGGTACAGGCCAGAGGTGTGGGGGTAGAGGAGGTAAGAGGATTCACCAGAAACAGAATGGGGAACAGAACAGTCAGATTGACTGAAATATACTGCTGAGGGGAGGGGGCAGGTCAGGAGAGGTCTGCCAAGCCATGTGAGTCACCTCCCTGGCTGGGGAGGTGATGCAGTGATCAAACTCGTGATGCAGTGGCTGGGGTTAGCTCCAGAGTGCTGTGCTTTAACCCCCTGCACCATCAGGGAGAGCCCTCATTTTCAATTATAACCTTCCTGCTATTAAATCAGTTATATGTTCTTTGCTCCAAATATCTATTGTGATAATGAATATGGTCCAGTATTACTTTCAAGCTTTTCCTATCCAGAGATGGGACCAGTGCCTCCCCATTCTGTCTTCAATCTGGGCTTTGTGACTGCTTCTACTTCCTGTTTCTTGGGGTGCTAATTTAGAGAACATAGCCACTCTGCCATGAGGAAGCCAAGTAGCCCACGGACAACTCCACACACAGAGGACTCAGTGCCTCTGGGCCCACAGCCCCCTTAGCCTATAGTTAATAAGAACTTGCTAGTCACATGATCGAGTCATCTAGGAGATGGATCCTTCAGCCCCATCTGAGGCCATGTGGAATAGAGATGAGGTTTATTCAACTCACCTATCTGTGAGCAAATGTATTTGCTGAATGTTTTTAAACCTCTATGTTTTGGGGTGATCTGTTATATGTAGCAATATGTCATTGGAACAGTTTTATTTTGCCTACCTTACATTTCTGTTTGCTCTTTTTTATATTTTCTTGTTTCATATAGTTAATTAGTTAATTTTGAACTTTTGATCCATGTGTTCTAATAATTTTCTCACAAATGTTTTCTTTTTAAAAATTTTATTTTTGTGTAGAACTGGGGTGTAGGTCAGAGGTGCCGGGAGTGAGAGAATTCTCTAGAGATGGAGTGGGGAGTAGAACAGGCAGATCTACTGAAATACACTGCTGAGGGGGAGCAGTGGGCACAGCAGGAGAGGTCTGCTGCACCCTGTGGCTTAGCTCCCTGACCTGGGATCACACTCCGGCAGTGGAGGTGATAACACTGAAACTTACTTAATCCCTAGGCCACCAGGGAGACCCAGGTGTTTTCTTTTGAAATGTCTGTGCACCTCCAATGTCTTTATCTTTTAGCCTGTCAGGTTATTTTTTGTCCAGGAGTTACCTGATAGTATGGACAACTCAGCCAGTCACTGCTGATGGTATGGACAACTCAGCCAGTCACTGCTTTGGGAGTGAAATTGTGTTGTAATGATAGAGTGCCTGGGGTCTGATATTGTCATGTGTGACTATAGTCATATAGTGGCCTATCTCTCCCACACAGCAACAGACCCCACCCCTGAGGAGAGGGGCCATGGGTAGGGGTGGGGTAGGAGTATGGGGCACCTTTACACAACATTAGGAAAAACTAAGGGGTGCATCTGCTCATTCTTTATTGAAAAAAATTGTTGGGGGCAGATAATGAGGATACCAGGTGACCAAGAATGAGCCGACACCCTTTATAGACTACAATCTATAGTCTACAGTCTAGTGAGTACAAAAAACATTAATAGCAGATCCCTGCCAACACATTTCTTCCTGCAGTGGATATTATGAAGGCAAAGTGCCCCAGACGGTCCCATCCAGGGGAGCAGGGGTGGGCCTCAGAAAAGTCCTGAGTTGGGGGCTTCTGCTATGTGTGGGGGGGGGGAGACATGAGGTGAGATGTTTCCATGGGGAGGGGTTCGGTGAAGATGGGGTAGAAAGCATTTTGTGAAATGTCCTGATGGGGTCTGATGTTGTCATGTTTTACTGAAAATCCCTGAGTTTGAGGAAGTGAAAGAAGGGTTGGGGGGGGGGAGGAGAATGGAGAGGTGGGTGTTGTCAGATGGGGCAGGGCCTTGTGGGCTAGGAGAGGAGCTTGGGCTTCTTTTCAGAAAAGATGACTCTACCCTAAACAGGAAGTCCACTGGGATGGCCGCTGGTGGCTGAGGGGTCTGAAGGATGGGAGGGCAGGTTCTGGGGGAGGGGCCAAAAGGCGGTAGGCAGGAGATCCTCCCACAGGACCCAGTCACTCTGATTCCCTCCTCCCAAGCCGGAGGCTGGGGGCAGGGGGCATCCGGAGGGCACAAAGTCTGAGGTCCACTGGGAAGACACCGGACACCTGAAGGGATTATTATGCTGTGAGCCCTAAAAGGGAGAAAAATGGGCCTAGGCAACTAAACTGAGGCTTGCTGATAAACAAATAACTGAAAAGGTGCCACAGGAAGAAAAAGATGTTAAAGTAAAGCCAACTGGATACAGTTGGAGCAAATGTACAATTAAGAGCAAACTTGTAAACAACTAGGGCACGGGAATCCTAAGAGATGAGGCAGTACAAGAGAAAATAAAACGAAGGAATATGGCTAAAGAATTCAATGCAGTGTTCCAAGGGGGCAGGTGGGACCAGATGAGAGGGATGGGTGTTCTTCTTACCGAGGAAGCAAGAGTCCCTGAGGAAGGCTGGGAAACTCCCGGCACCTCAAGCAGGAAGACGGTTGCGAGGGGCTCCCGGAAATAACTGGAACTATCCAGGGGCGCGGTTTCCAGCACGTGGAGAAACTGGGAGACACAGATGATGGAGATGGCGAAGAGTACCCAAGGAATGGTTGGAGGCACTGGGCAGGGATGCGATAGCCTCCGCGGGGCCAGTCCTGTCAACCCTTACCCTGTAACGCACAGGGCGCAGAACCAGTGCATCCTGCGCCCCATCCCACTGAGCCCTCCCAGAAGCTCCAGGAGGTGGAATCGCAGTTCCCCATTTTACAAGTGCCGCAACTGAGGCCCAGAGAGGGCAGGTCCTCACCCAAAGCCACACAGGAACCCTGCCCTCTCCAGGGCGAGGGGCCCCAGCGGGACTCCCTACCCGGGGGCTTCACTCCGCCTGAGCCCCCCCTCGGGGTGGAGCCGACCCGAGCCCCTCCTGCTCCCCGCCCCGGAGGGGCGGCCCGGGGGGCGGGCGG